CACTTTTGAACCAGAAACAGCAGCAGAAGCGCCTGACCTGGGCTGCAGAGAAGCAGCACTGGACTGTCGCTCAGTGGTCAATGTACTTTTTTTGGCTGAAAGCAGATTTTGCATGTCATTCGGAAATCAAGGATCCAGAGTCTGGAGGAAGACTGGGGAGAAGGAAATGCCAAAATGCCTCAAGTCCAGTGTCAAGTACCCACAGTCAGTGATGGTCTGGGGTGCCATGTCAGCTGCTGGTGTTGGTCCACTGTGTTTTATCAAGGCCAGGGTCAGTGCAGCTAGCTWTCAGAATTTGGAGCACTTCATGCTTCCATCTGCTGAAAAGCTTTATGGAGATGAAGATTTCATTTTTCAGCACGACCTGGCACCTGCTCACAGTGCCAAAACCACTGGTAAATGGTTTACTGACCATGGTATTACTGTGCTCAATTGGCCTGCCAGCTCTCCTGACCTGAACCCCAGAGAGAATCTGTGGGATATTGTGAAGAGAAAGTTTAGGCACAAGACCCAACACTCTGGATGAGCTTAAGGCACAAGACCCAACACTCTGGATGAGCTTAAGGCACAAGACCCAACACTCTGGATGAGCTTAAGGCTGCTATCGAAGCATCTTGGACCTCCATAACACCTCAGCAGTTCCACAGGCTGATTGCCTCCATGCCACGCCACATCGAAGCAGTAATTTCTGCAAAATGATTCCCGACCAAGTATTGAGTGCATAACTGAATATAATTATTTGCTTTTTTGTATTAAAAACACTTTACTTTTATTGGTCAGATGAAATATGCTAATTTTTTGAGATAGGGATTTTTGTTTTTTCTTTACTTTTTTGCCAAATTCATCAATTTTTAAAACAATAAAAGGTTTGAACTACTTCAGTTGGTGTGCAATGAATCTAAAATAAATGAAAGTTTAATGTTTATCAGTACATTACAGACAATAATGAACTTTATCACAGTATGCTAATTTTTTGAGAAAGACCTGTATATACCATCAAACACAGAGCATGTCGAGTTTTTAAGCCCTCTTAGTATTTATATTTGAATGAACGCACAAACAGTGAGGAGCTGGCGCTCAACGCTTTAGCAGTCCCTCCCATCTGTTTACTAAACCAGAGGAAAACAGAAAATTTGCTAATGCGTTCTGCTTCCTTTTGGGCAGCAGCCATCAGCATCTTTAATATACTTCAAAAGAACAAAACACACTGACATGTGGGCTCGCTTTTTTATTTCTTTATACAAATAACACTTGGAAGAACATAATTTTCTGCACATATTGAAGTCGGTCTGAGTTGATATTAGATCAAATAAAAACTAATCATGTTAAAGTTGAGACGAGTAATTATAAGGAAAAAAATCYCATGCAGTTGATAAAATTGAGAACTATGACATTTTACTTTATTTTTTTTTTCTTTGTGTACTTGTTCCATAACTTCCTGCCACAAGTCTCTATTCTGTTTTATTGTCTGGCACTACAGAGTGGGGCTGAAAGAATAAAATACTTCACTTTGTGCACAGTCGGAGCGTAATATCCCAAACGATTGCTTTCAAACAAACATTTAATGACAGTTTAGTTTTTTTTAATTGAACCTGAATGCTGGATATGGGCACCAGTGACCCACGCGACCCTGAAAAGGAAGAAGCGTGTACAGAAAATGGATGGATGGATGGATAGCTGTTCCTCTGATCTGCACCTGTGTTTTTACTTCCTGGATGTCAGCAAACGGCCCCACTGTGTAGTCCTGCAGCACATCCTGCTCGTCTGCTCTCTGTCTGTGCCGCTTGCCTTTGTTGTGTCTCCTWGCCGTGTTTTGATGTGTCTGCTGTGTCTGTTATCTCTCCCTTTCTCTTCCTTTCTCATGCTTCATGGTTTCTCCTAGGAAAAAGTACAGCTTCAGGTCAGTAATATTTAATGCCATACAAAAACTCCCATGCAACCTTTTGTCCTGTCCCTTTTTGCTGATGCATGGATTTATCTGACCGAGCTCAAAGTGAAACTGCAAACAGTTTAAAGAATAATTTGGCGCTTTTGCTTGCTTAGTGGATGATGTGTGTCTCGTTTAAAAATAGAAAGTGAGGTAGTTCAGGCAGAATAAAAGGTGACTATACCTGTTTTTCTGCTCTGTTAGGTTCTTATTACGTCATTCTGACGACTTAGGCACAGGACCTGAGCTTATTGGAAAAAAACAGTCAATATTTGTTCACTTCCCAAAATGGGTTTTAGTTTAGTCATGTTTGAAATGCCAAATGTGCGCGTTTGTATTCTGGATATTTTCATTTTACTTGAATCTAAATTTTAAAAGAACTAAACCAGCATGGACCTTTTTGTAAATTACAAAACGTTACAAATCATTACACCTAGCACATGCATGATGTTTTCCAGTTTATTAAAAATATGAATGAATAACATCTGTATCTGTGAATTGTTTTGCTGCTTTTAAAAAAAACAGTTCAGTGCGCACTAGAGGAGAGTAAATCCCGATTAATTTTCTGTGAAAGGGATTTTGGTCTGAACACCTGAAATGCAGCCTGAAAAAGTCGATTATTTCTGAATGATTATAAGGATGTAACTATCACTCATATGTCACCATATTAAACACTTTTCAGCAATAGAGTTAATAAAGMAAATATTTAATCAAAACTATTACAAAAATCTAAAGAAACATTGTCTTTTATTGTAGTTGCATGCTTAGATGACAGTTTTAGCCATATTTTGGACTCTAAATTGCATGAATGGATAAAAAAGAGAAAGAAATCCCATAAATGAATAGAGAAAAATGTCTACATTTTATACTCTCTCCAAGAAAAAAATGTTTTTGTTTTTAAGAGTTAAGGTTTCAGGCTTTTGTGCAATCAACTCAGTTATTTTTCTGCTAAGTGAGTCATTATAGTAAAAAGTTGGGAGGAAAACATCTTTAAAATGCTTTATCACAGACCTGGTGGTATTAAATGATGTTTACACAGACAAATAAGCTTCTAGAATAAAGTATTTTATAATATAACATATTTTGTAAGAGTCATTTTTAAAGGAATATGAATTTATTTTCTCTTTAGAATTCTTTCAAATGTTTTTCTATATTCTTTACATAGCTTTGTTAAACAAAAAAAAACATTTTATTTATTTATTTTTTTTTACTTTCGTCCTCTGTCTTTTGTCTCCATCCATCACAGAGAGGGGGACTGGTGGCTCGCTCGCTCACTAACAACAGGAGAAAGTGGTTACATCCCCAGCAACTATGTGGCTCCGTCAGACTCCATCCAAGCAGAAGAGTAAATTATCTTATTTTTATTCTTGCAGTTTAGTTTTGCCTCTGTTCCTGTACATCTCAGGGGTTTTTTCTGTGCTGAGCCTAAGTGTAGCTCTTCCTTTCCGTGTGCATTATGTTCTTTGTTAAAAGCAGGAATTACCGACACTGTTTATTTTTTTACACAAACACATTTATAGCTTCTCCGGCTTTTTCAGCGGCTCAGCTGGAGTTTTGTCTTTGATCTTCCTCCCTGTCGCCCACTCCTTCAGGTGGTATTTTGGGAAGATCACCCGTCGTGACTCGGAGAGGCTCCTTCTGAATCTGCAGAACAGACGAGGAACCTTCCTGGTGAGGGAGAGCGAGACCACTAAAGGTGAGGAAACAGATATATTGTTTGAATTCTTTTAAAAAGCTACAGTCATTATTAAGACCCATTATCACGATTAGGACTTTTTCTTCAGTTTCTGATCATGCTGATGTGGAAAAATGGCTACTTTTGAAATATTCAGTCCATTGTGGGTCGACCAGGTACATTCGATTTTTAAGTCTGACGAGGAAGAATCCAACTATTGAGTTTAGACCCGCAACACATAATTTTATCAGCTTTTGTAGTTATTGAACTGACTCTTTTCCCAACTGTCTGTTCTGGATTCAGATTTCTTTGTTTAATAAACTGCAGTTGTTCAGGTCATAGTACAGTGTGTTGATTTTTATGAGCGTTTGTGCCGTCAGTTTGACTGAATCAAGGATGTGGACGCAGTTTTAAGCTTTGAGAATTTCTTGTAGCTTTTTTGCGTTTTGTCCCAAATCCTCATTTCTTCCTGACACATAATCTCTCTGCAGCTCCTTCCTTTCAGTTTCCACCATGAGAGTTCATCTGCAGCAGAAAATCCCCTGCTGTTAGGTGCATGTGTGAACAGCAACTGTGGGGC